CACACTCACACACACACACTCATACAGAGACACACTCACACACACACTTATTCAGAGACACACTCACACACACACACTTATTCAGAGACACACTCACACACACACTTATTCAGAGACACACTCACACACACACTTATTCAGAGACACACTCACACACACACACTTATTCAGAGACACACTCACACACACAAACTTATTCAGAGACACACTCACACACACACTTATTCAGAGACACACTCACACACACCCACTTATTCTGAGACACACTCACACACACACTTATTCAGAGACACACTCACACACACACACACTTACGCACAGATTCACACTTAACACACAAACACATAGATGCACACTCATGCATGCAAAAATACACACACATACTTATGCACACACTTACACGCAGACAGAGAGAAAGATATACTCCCGTGCACGCACACACAAACAAACACACACACACACACACTTATGCACAGACACACTTGTGTGCACACACACACAAACCTACGCAGATGCACACTTACACACAGACACTCGCGCATGCAAAAACACACACGCACAAAACTTGTGCACACTCACACTTTTACACACAGACACTCACGTATACGCAAACACACACACACTTACACACATACACACACACACTTACACACAGGTACACACATACGCACACACACACGCACACACACATACAAACACACACACATTCATGTACGCACGCACAAACTTGCGCACAGAGATGTACACTGACGCACACAGACACACTCAAACACACTCAGACACACACACAATATTAACAGACACTCAGACTTATACACACAGACACTCACATATGGGCAAAAACACACACACACACACTACGTACACACGCACAAATGCACTCATACTTTCACACACAGACACTCATTGATATGCAAATACACACACACACATAGGAAAGCACACTCATACATGCACAAACATACGCACACTGACACACAGACAAACACACACAGATGCACATAAAATACTCACACACACACACACACACACACACGCATGCGCAAACACACACACACACACACAGAGAAAGAGAGAGAAAAAAGACACACTCATAGGTAATCACAGTGAGAATGCACCTTTTACCGTACTCGCACTATGTACAGTTGCCTCGAACCGGGCCAAAGCACGCTTGTCCCCCCTCCCGTCTCCCCCGACAGCCCGCGCTCACACTACAATCAGGTCTCGGCATGTTTACGTCATCGCTGCTGCGCTGTTCAGTGAGAAGCGCTCTCTCACTCAGCAGCACAGTGGAGATTTCTCTAGTTATATCGTGTCAGTGGTTTGTTATGCAGTGACATGCAGTCAAATATTTCACCAAACAGTCCGTAGGGATGCGGGGACACGCAGTCAGATATTTCACTGAACAGATCCGCCACTTTTGGCGCTCATAAACAATCATAAAGCCCTCATGCTGCAGGAATGAGGAGGTCTGCTGAAGGTGCAGCTGTCGTGCTGTGAGAGGTTTGCGTCTTTAATAAACTACAGCAGTTTGCGTTCACTGAACAGTAAGAATGATTAATAAATCCATATGAAACAGCCCCTTAAAGGGCTATGAAACCCCCTCGTTTCAGCAGGGTGTTTTCACACCTCTACTTTGGAAAAAGTCAGAAAAGTGGGCGTGTCCAGCTCTGTTTAGGGGGGAGTGTCGGAGGATCTAAAGTGGGAGGGTGTGGGAGTGTCTATTTGGGCACGCGCGAGTTTCAGAGTCAAAATACACACCCACACAGACAGGAGAAAGTGATGGTGTTTAACCTACATGGACATCTGTAGTCGAATTATTTGCCAAATTATTAAATGGTGGACTTTAACTGCAGTTTGGCTCTTTCATTCAGGGAATTCATTCATGTCCCTCGCGACAAACGTGATATTTGATTCGAGGAGCTGCTCTAAGCGTGTATTTTTCATGCAATGTTAGATACCGCACGGCGAATGAGAGAAAAAAACCCTCAGCATTTCCCAAACAAACTGAACAAACAAAGGGCACTGGTCGCTCACTTACCAAATCTCTATTACCAAATCTCGCCGCGTCTTTATTAAGAGGAGACTACAAGCAAATCCAGATCTCAGCGTTTGCAGATGAGAACAGCTCTCAGGTAAACAATGTTCCTCCTTAGACACGTAAGTTATTGTTGTCGAGCGTCGCGTACACTGTAATCCACATGTGATCCAGATAAGCTCTCACAGAGAGAAAATGAAAACAAAACTTCACTGCAGCAAACTATAAAAGCAACACTTCACGCTTGTTTTGCCAACACAACATGGCGTCTCTGTCGTGTAAACACACTAATGAATATTAATGAAGTTGCACAATAGAGCGCGCTGATTGGTTTGAACCAAGCCTTACTCATGCATTAATGCAGCACACTGTAAGACGTAATAAGACTCACTCTGGCTCAGACGTCCAGTCTGCACGCTGGAATACACGCTATTATGTCATGACCTGGAAGTATGAATTTGCTTGAAATAACGCAAAAACAACCAATCTACACTTTTTAGTGAAATATAGGTGTCCTAATAGTGTTTTTAGCAGTGTGGGACACATATACGACTGTCAACAGCTCAAACACATGTGTTTCGGTGTTTCGTGAGCCTTTTTAAAGTCACGCCTCGCTTTCAGTTTCGGGCTTTGGCGAGCTTTGCACTCACACACAAGCGTACCGTGTCAAAGCCGAAGTGAACCGCCCAATTCAGCGCACTCACACTTCTCAAATGATCCGGGAAACAGGCCTGGGCACGGTACGGATAGCATAGTGTGAGTAGGCCCTTAATCTAGGGCTCTTAAACTTAGGACTCTAAACACACACACACACACACACACACACACACACACACAAAGGCCAGTTCCTCTGACGTCTGCAGTCGATGTAACTGTGCTTCAGCATTTCACACACACGTTTTCATTTCTCTCTCTGTTGAATGGGAGGGGGAGGGGCCTGGGGGCGTGAGGCAAACGGAGTGCTCTGATTGGCCGTTGCTGCAGCAGCTCTTGACTCTTTGCAGGAATGTTCCGGGTCAGACACACTGATGACTCATTATAACAGCTGATCTCTGAACAGCAGACTTTCACAATCACCCTGAGGACAAACTCACACACACACACACGCAGCGCACGTCTCTCAACACATACACACACACACAATGGGATGTGTTATTAATGAGAGGTTTCTCCTGTACATCATCAGCATACTTCACTCTGAGCTGCTTTCATCATGAAAACACACACACACACACACACACACACACACACACACACACACACACACACACACACACACACACACACACACACAGAAAGAGACTCGCACACAATTGCACATATACATAGACACACACACACACACAGAGAGAAAGAGACTCGCACACAATTGCACATACACACACACACACACACTGAGTTGTGTTATTAATGAAAGGTTTCTGCTGTACATCATCAGCATACTTCACTCTGAGCTGCTTTCATCATGAAAAACACACACACTCACACACACACACATACACACAGAGAAAGAGACTCGCACACAATTGCACATAGACACACACACACATACACACACACAGAGAAA